ATCCTTTTAGCAAAAATGCCAGAAATTATGCAAGTTATGCAATAGTCTTAATTCCATCAAGTAGGAGGATATATACAAGCTCAATTTCTTCCTCCTCCTGGTTTTTAGGCTTCTAAACAGCACTCTCCTTACACTACTGAAGAAATAAACCCAGGAAATCAACAGATAACGAGCAGGCCAATTCTTTTTGCCTAATATCTTTCTAATCAACCCGATACTTCAGTTAAATTTGTACTTAATGTTCATTCCAACAGTTTTCTTTCCAACAAATGGATTTTGGACACTAGAGCAACAAACAACAATGTATGTAAATTCAGTAGCTTTTCACATTACAAATCAGTACATAATACCTTTGTGTATATCCCAAATGGTTCTAAATTAGAACTAACCGGTATTGGATCTGTTCAATACTCTAAGGCAATCCTACTAAAGCAAGTCTTATAGGTGGTGGCTTTTAGTTTCCATTTAGTGTCACTTATTCAGCTTGTTAAAGATCCCTCTCCTACACTATGGTTTCATTCCTCTTTTTTTTTCTCCTTATCTAGGAATTCCCCAATATGAGAATAAATGCTATAGCTAACTAGAATAAGGACTCTACTTGCTTCACATAGAACAACAAACAACTAGTCTACATCAATGGCTTGCACTTCCTCAACACCAACTAGCTGCTACAGCCTACATACTCCACCACTTCAGAGAACTTTGACTTGTTGATTGTAATGTTGATATTCATTTTGAACATCATTGTACTATATTTCCCTAAGTATTATAGAAGATACTCTCGTTTCCTGTAAGCAGTAATCGTTCTTCTACAACTTCTTAGTTACTACATATTGACATTTGGGCGATTCTCCTGTACAATCAATTAATGTGGTCACTACTATTTATTTTGATATAGTAGATCATAACTATAGACATGCATGGATATTTTTAAATGAAGAAACAGTAAGAAGCTAGATCCATAATCGTGTAATTTTTTTTTTGAATATGTTATTGCTCAATTCAACCCTCGAAACAAAACCATTCTCAAAGAGAATGATCTTGAGTTTGAAACGGTATACCAGTCCAGAAGAACTGTACACAAAACCACCTATGTACACACCTCTCAGCAAAAGGGTATTGTTGAGAGAAAACATCAACTCTCCTATATGTTACACGAGCCTTACTTTTTCAAACCAAACTTTCTAATTGATTTTGGAATTTTGTAGCAACTAATGCAGTACACCTAATCAACAGACATCCAACATCTATTTTACAAACACATGACTACGTACGAGAAATTAACAGGCCAAAAACCTCAATTATCTCATTTGAAAGTATTTGGATACCTAACCTATGCTACTACTCTATGATGTATGATCTAACAAACATAAAATAGATTTTAGAGCAGACCATTGCCTATTTCTAGGATTTCCTCCTAAGACAAAAGGCTAAAAAACTGTACAATCTTCATACGCATTGCATCTTCATTTCCAGAGACGTTACTTTCTTTGAAACCATATTTCCATATGGAACAACACAGCCTTCACATAATATTATTATCCAACAACATAATCCCATCACAAAATCTAATTGGGACATCCCTCTTCCTTATTAATCATCTACGGCAAATAGCTCCATCATCTAGAACATCCGCTAGATATGATCTTTTACACGTTTTCACTGAGGATATAGCTGAGGTTACAGAATCTCAAGAACAACTTGAAGAAACAAGTCCAGATGCATGTCACTACTCATGCAATACTTCCATCATCTTATCATTCTTCAACAACACATCAGTCACCATTGCTTCCTTCTAGCAATCGACCCTCACCAATACCTGCCAGAAAATCAACTAGGGTAAGGAAACCTCCTAGTAAAGCGGATATATACAAATCCAAATCAGTCATACCAACTGAAGCATCAGATACTAGCATCACTTATCCAATGCAAGAATATCTCACATATTCTTCCTTACATCCATTATTGAAACACTTTGCTATATCAATATCTCGCATAAGAGAACCAACTACTTACTCTGAAGCAGCCAAATCACCTGAATGGAATGCAACAATGAATTTAGAATTGAATTCCTTGGACAAAACCATGACTTGGGAACTAGTTTATCTACCCTTGGGTAAGAAACTAGTAGTAACAAGTGGGTCTTTCGACTTAAATTTCAAACCAAATGGTAGCATTGGAACTATAAAGCAAGACTAGTTTCTAAAGGATACACTCATACACCTAGAATTTACTATCTTGATACATTTTCACTAGTTGTCAAGATGACCACTATTAGAATCCTATTAGTCGTAGCTGCAACTCGGAAATTGGTTCTTAGAACAAATTGATGTAAGTACAACATTTATCCATGGGACTTTGAAAAGGTATACATGACTAAACCTCTTGGTTTGAAATACAAACCTAATAGTAAGGACAAAGTTTGCATACTTACTAAATCCTTGTATGGATCAAAATAAGCAAGCGGCCAATGGTTTGCTAAATTAACTTCTACACTACTTACACTAGGCTACAACCAATCTAAATGTGATTGTTCCATATTTACAAAGAAATCTCATCACATTTTCATTTCTTTACTCATGTACGTTGGTGACATAGTACTAACTAGTAACTCAATGTTAAAAATCTATATGTTTAAAGACACTTTAGATAAGGAATTTACCATTAAATACCTTGGATAATTAAAGTACTTCCTTGACATGGAAGTAGCCAAGTATAGTGATGATATTCATCTTTACCAAAGAAAATCCACAAGTTGACATAGGTTTTACTAGTTCTAAACCATCTACCACACCCTCTACACCTGGAACACACCTCACTAGTTCAAAAGGAACACTTTTAGATGCAAGTGGCATCGACAATTACAAAAGTCTCCTAGGATAAATTGATGTAAGCACAACATTTCTCCACGGGACTTTGAAGAGGTATACATGACTAAACCTCTTGGATTGAAATACAAACCTGATGATAAGGACAAAGTCAGCACACTTACTAAATCCTTGTATGGATCAAAATAAGCAAGCGGCCAATGGTTTGCTAAATTAACTTATACACTACTTACACTAGGCTACAACCAATCTAAATGAGATTCTTCCATATTTACCTAGAAATCTAATCATATTTTCATTTCTTTACTCATGCAGGTTGGTGACATAGTACTAACTAGTAACTCAATGTTAAAAATCTAGATGTTTAAAGACACTTTAGACAAGGAATTTACCATTAAAGACCTTGGATAATTAAAGTACTTCATTGACATGGAAGTAGCCAAGTCTACTAATGATATTCATTTTTGCCAAAGAAAATACGCAAGTTGACATAGGTTTTACTAGTTCTAAACCATCTACCACACCCTCTAAACCTGGAATATACCTCACTAGTTCAGAAGGAACACTTTGCAATACTTATCTTGACATTTATCATTGTGTAAATCAGCTATGTCAAGTCCAGGATGCTCCAACTACAGTAGACGAATTACCAACTCAAAATCTCTTTCATTATATTAAAACCACACCTGCTAAATGACTCTTCTTCTCTGGTAATTCACCTCACAAACTCACTGCCTTGTCTGATTCAGACTAGGCAGGATGCCCCAAAATAAGACGATCCATCACATGTTTTGTGTTTTCATGGGCAATGCTCTTCTTAGTTGTAATTCCAAGAAACAACACACAGTTTTGCATTCTTCTACTAAATTAGAATATAGAGCCCTAAGAAATAAATCCAGTGAACTACATTGGATGTCTTACTTGTTTAAAGAACTTCCCATTCAACCTTAGCTTCTTTACACAATCTTCTGCGATAGACTTTCAGCCTTGAAGATGACTCAAAACCCCATTCAACACGAGCGCACAAAAGCACATCAAAATTGACTGCCACTTCATGCAATATCAAGAACAAGCTAAGAGACTCAAAGGGAAACACATCTCCATAAATCTTGAGCTAGCGTCTCCCTTCACCAAGGCACTCCCGGTACATATCTTCACCGAGTTGATCTCCACACTAAGCTTTAAGACAATCCATGCTTAGTTTACGGGCAATTTCGTAATCATGCTTGATTATGATATGATGGATCTCAATGTAAATACCAAAAATTCAAAGGATTACGTTAGTGAAACTAGAAAGTTAGGTTATGAAAATGTAATAAGACTAAATCAGTTAGTTAAGAAAAGTAACAAACTTTCACTCTCCCCGGGTTAGCTTACAAGCTCAAAGAGATTAGGTGTAAAGGGTAAAACCATGTACTATAAGAAGCATACTCAGGTTTTCTCAAATCTTCTCACTCTCGACTAGATACTCAAGTGTTCTAATATCCCTGTCATAAAGACTAGTTTTCTCAACAAACCTCAGGTTCTCGAGGTTAAGATCTTATATCACTATATTTTTCTACATAAACGGTGACCCTAGCTTAAGTCCTTACCTAGTTTTAAACTAGTGAATAGGGTGTTGTCTCGTGGCCGTTTGCGATTAAGGGCTTGTTTTGTGTTGCAGGCGTGGATCTTATGAGGGGTATGCACGTAGGTTACGTGCAAGGGGAAGGAGATGATTTGATGTTTTAATGTAAGTAATTCCTACCATTGTCTCTTCTGGAATTCCATAGCAAAGATTACCCAATCGTTCAAATTCGAATTGAAACTCACTTACAGTACCTGTCTGCTTAAGCTTGACCAGCCGTTCAGAAGAAGACGCATCTATCACGTTGAAACGTATGCAGAATTCCTCTTTGAACCTCTCCCAAGTGATCTCCTGCCCAGGTGTGGTGTAAGCTCGCTCCATCCCCTCCCACCATTGTTGCGCACCCCCATCGAGATAGAAGGGGGCAGATGCACCTTCTGTTCCTCCTTGGTTACTTGATGTCGAAACCAACGATTCGCTCGCAATAGCCAAGCTCCTGCGTCCCCCACTCTTGAAAATATCGTGAATTCGATTATCATGATCCCTCCGTCGCCACCACTCCTACTGTAATCTCCTTCGCCTTTGTACAACGCACGACCATAGGGGCCGTGAGGTCTTCCGGGCTAAACCATCTCCCATTCTTCCTCACCATTGATCTCCACCGGGTCGTCCTCGTTCCTCCCGTAGCCCCGACCTCCTGCGAAGCTTCCGCTACCTTGAGTGGGGCCTCGCACCTTGGGGGTGCCAAGAGGAGGAAAGCCTTCGCTCCACTCCCGGCTCCCGCGCGGCGGCCAGACTCCTCCTCTGCTCATCTCGCGTGCTTCGCCGCCAGCTCACCCTGCTCCTGGCCAAAACCTGTCACTCGATCCACGACCCCAGCTGCCTTCGTCGTGGTGATTGCTCTTAGCCATCGTTGTCTTGTGAGCACATGGGAGTGGTCCTGCTTCGGGCCGCCCTACGGTCCTTGTTCCACCTATGGTAGCTTACCACAATTCCTTGGCAGCACTAAGACGTTCTCCGACAGTGGCAGGAGACACTCATCCCTCTTCTTTTCTTTTGGCGCCACTAACGTCGTTCCTTCGCTCCTCTTCTCACCGCTATCCTCATCGCCTTGACCGACTTCTCGTCGTCCATCCGTGGTTGCAATCATCAGTGCATGTGTCGCAATGGTGGTGATCGGTCTGCCCATTCGACCGTTGCCGGCCTTCACTTCCACCAGGATTTGAGCTAATACTTCAGCGAGGCCATTGAGGCCGACCTTCATGGTCCCTTCCACCTCCTTGGCATTTCGGTTCGCGTGCTCCATATGGTACTCTAGCTGTTCGGTGAATCGCGCTAGCTTTTCCTCATATTCGCTTTGCTTCAGGGCTACCTTGTGGAGTTGAGCCATGACAGCCTCCACGTTGATTTTGCCATTCACGACTCCGTCTTTTCCTAATTTTTTCGACATCTGTCTAGTCGTAGCTGGCATACATCACTCAATCCTCACTCTGATACCAATTTGTTGCAGGCGTGGATCTTATGAGGGGTATGCGCGTAGGTTACGTGCAAGGAGAATGAGATGATTTGGTGTTTTAATCGAAGAAAAGAGAGTTTGAGAGGGAAGAGGGGTTCTGGACGTAGGTAGTGAAGGAAGAAGAAGAATAAGAGTAGTATTGGGGGAGGGAAGGCTCAGCAGAGGAGGAGGAATAAGGGAGGAAATTAGCTAAAATAATATTATTATGCTTCTTGATTTCTCTAAAAATAACTCTTCCCTAATATAACGAAATTCCTGCTATAACTACCCTGATTTATCCTCATAATTATTCTTCCCAAATTCCCTAATTAAATCTAGGGGTGTCAGTCGGTCAGTTTTGGTTTAACCGAAAATCAAATTCTCGGTTATCGGTTAAACCAAACAACCACCCTCTTCTTTCGACCACCGATCGGTCGGTTATCGGTTTTGGCTCGGTTAGCCGCCCGCCTGAAAAAGCACTCTCTTCTCACAAAAAAAATTATTAAAATTATCTAAAAAAACACACAAAAAAACCCCACCACTCAAACCTTATCTCCTTCCTCCTTCTCTCTCCTTCCTTTCTCCATTCAATCCCACCAGACCAGGCCACCATTTTCGTCAAAAAAACAAAACAAAAAAAAGACCAGACCACCACAACACTTTTCCTACTCGTCCTCTTCTTGCTACTCTTCACCTTCTGCCATCGCCAAACCACACCAAAGTTCCATCCTCAGATCACAAAACCCATCAAAGACTTAAGACAGACACAGCTTCTACTTTTTTTTTTTTGTAACTCGGAATAAGGGGAGTTGGCTTTAGTTTTTTTCCAATGGATATGACCGACACATCGGCCAAGCATCTGTCCTTCAGTGGCGGCGAGTGGAGGCGGACGTTGAGCAGACGCGGTTGGCGATTCGAGGAGGAGAAGCAGGGGAGAGCGCACGCGAATGGCGGAGCGGAGGGCTGGGGTCGTCGCCGGGGTCGGAGGGTGGAGATGCAGAGGTCGACGGTGGGCGAGATGATTTTGTTGCTGGGCTGGTGGCCTACTTCGCGAGACCGCGACGGGAAGGATGCATACGGTTCGGCGCAACGCTTATCGCGATGGGAAGCAAGAGAGGGCGAGGTGCAGGGACGGCGACGTGGCGGCAGAGGCGAGGTGGACGGAGACAGAGGTGCGGCGGCGGCGATGTGGACAGAGGTGCGACAGCGGAGGCTAGGTTGACAAAGGGGGGAGAGTTTTGTTGAGATCTAGGGTATGAGGAGAGTGGAGGTGGAGATGATGGACAGATTTTGGGGAAGGTTAGGTGGATCTCGGTTGGGACCGGTTAGTCGGATAACCACGATTAATCATCGTCAATTACTCGGTCAACCGACCGCCAAGGTAACCGGTCGGTTTTCGATTAGTTTGTAACCGACCGGTTTTTGTTATAACCGACGGTTACCCGCTAACCGGCAACCGAAATGCCAGCCCTATTTAAATCTTCCCAAATAACCATAATTATCCCAAAATATCCAAAACATCCATAAATCAAAAAGCGCTAGAAATGTGAAATGCTAAAGAAATAGTCCTGCAACATTTTGCAAGAACTAGAGCAATCGTGAGGCTCGAGACCAGAGATTGGAAGGAGTATTTGACATAACATGAGTTTTTCCAAAAAGCATCTAAACCAAGTAACCCAAAAGTTCAATAAAACTATAGTTATCACAAGCAATTGAAATTTAGTCTTGCAACATCATTTTATCTCAACTATTAAATTAATTTAAGAGTTGGGATTTATTTATTGATAATCACATAAGTGTGAGTTATGCAACCAACCTTGATTAAGGTTCGAAAGAGAATTAAATATTTTCTTTTACAAGTGTAAATAGTAAAGATGGACAAGCAACTGAGCCATTTTCAAGAAACTCAAACCATTGTGGGTGTTTGATTGATGTGGTTGAATTATGGTTCTGTAAATCTCCTATCCTACTAATATAGGTGGATGATGGGTGGGTTGCGGATTACTTGAATGTTCGCACTTCACTTTCACATCGCAAAAAGTCATTTAATTTTTGGGTTAATACTTTATTTTGACCCGAACTATGACCATATAATCAACTTTGGGCAGTGGTTTCAGAAATTAACATTATGACCTCAACTATGCAACATATAGACTCAATTGACCCGATACATGGTTTGACCGTCAATTTGGACAGTCAACACCGTTGACCGTTAGTCAACACGCCATGTTATTGTCTTGTCAGCCTAAAAATGATAAATAATAAAAATTAGGAAAGGTGGGTCCATCGCTAGGCCAATAAAGTGAGTGTGCCTCTTTCCATCGTTAGTAGAAGTGGAAGTTCGTCCGTCGTCTCTAGAGAATCGAAAAGACTATTCGCAAGATGAGCAAGAATTTGGTTGACTCATTCGGCTTCTTTGGAACCCTATCTTGTAAGGGCTTGCTTAGCTTACTAAGGTTTAGAATATGTGAGCCCGAAGGGCGAAGGCGAAGGATTTTTTCGTTGATTGCACGAGCTAGCCAGTCAAAATTCAAATTATTTTCCTAATTTTTATTATTTATCATTTTCAAATTAACCAAAAAATTCAATTATTTTTTTTAAATAATTTGATAATTTTTTGTTATTCAAATTAACCAATGACATGGCGTGTTGACTAACAGTCAACGGTGAAGACCATCCAAATTGAAGGTCAAACTATGTGTCGGGCCAATTGAGTCTATATGCCGCATAATTGATGCCAGGATGTTAATTTCAGAAACCACAGGCCAAAGTTAATTATATGATTATAATTCGGGCGAAAATAAAGTATTAACTCTTAATTTTTCTTAAATGGGACCCACTAACCTTGTCATATTTGTTAACCACACCACATTAAACATTGTTATAGAATTTTTCGTAAATGGGACCCACTAACCTTGAATCTTGGTTATCGATATATGATTAGTGACTTATTTTTCTCTATTAGCGAGTAATTCAATGAAAGTAACCAAATTAAATAAGTTGGTATCAGTAATAGATAAATTGTACACATCACAAGTTATAGTCAATTTAATGGAAAAACCGAAAAGTGCTAAATTGCTATAATATTCTAATTTTCCTGAAAATTATTGTAAATTTAGTCAACTAACCTAATGGTCAACTTGAAAATTGCTTTTGTGGTCAAATCTGCAATACAAACACATTCACATACCACCCATCCAACCCAAACTGAAAGAAAATGTGGATGGATGAAAAATGAGTCACAATTATATCAACCAGTTAATAAGTAATCAGTAGATTTTCAAACTAGAATCCACCTAATCCTCTATAATAATAAAATGAGAGTTGATTGACACCATAGAAAATTTGAATCACCCTACTGTCTGTTGGATCTCAAGTGGATTTTCTTTACTTAAGTGATCATAAAGTAACTACATGAAGAATATTTAGCAAGACTTTCGATCTATATCAATGTGGTCGCTTATTTGTTGGTGGTGATGGACGAGGACGATGATGAGATACTAAAAAGATATTTGATAAGATGACATGTGTTTTTATTTTAATTTGGATCAACATCTTTGTCCTTAGCAAAAAAAATGGAAGCTAAATTATGTGTTTCACTAAATCTTAGGAACCTAAATGCCAGTGTGAATGCTGACAGGCCAGGGAGGAGTGGACAACCCACGTTGTCCAACTTAACTAACGGAGAAGCCATTCGGAAAACGTGCTTGTCATTCACAACTTAGATTAGCGGTTGAGAAGCCAACAAAAATGACATGTTTGGGATATGGTTTCGTGTTTTTAAGATCCCCAAAATCCAACATATTCCATGTTGAAAACTCGGTGCCAATTAAATGCAAATTTAGAATCCAGACTCTTAATCACTCCTTTTTATTGTCTTCGTCATTAATTCATTTCCATGAAAAGATAATTTCCTTCACAAATAGGTTCGCCTATTCCGCCAAAAATGAATACACTTTCATGATGTTTCTCAAATGTTGTTGATTAATTTCATAACTATTACCTACTCCAACTCCCCTGAGTAATCCAATTTTTCCACCACTACGATAAGGGACTAAGAAATCTACTACTTAAATACTTGTCTCAAAATAAATAATGTTGTATCTAACTGTACGAAGGCGGGCACAGGTCAATGAATATGAGATGTACAAGTATCTACCAGACCTAATTTATCAATAGGTTCTCCATGCACGTTGAAAAAACGCCCTAGACTTGCTCTGCCAATAGGCACAATACTTAAAGGAGTTCTCGTGTCAATTACTTCAATTCCTCACATCAAACCATATGCGGCACTCATAGATAGAGCCCGAACTCGATTATTTCCTAATAATTGCTACACTTCACACGTCACATTAATTTCTTGATCGATGAGGTCTTGACCCTTAACCAGGAGAGCATCGTAAATAGGTATCTTCCTCAGTGAAAAGCTACATCTAGTACCAGGCTGATTATTTGATAGATATGTACATGGTTGTTTTCTCAATTGCAGAAACCCCAGAATCAAAAGTAGTAGTATTGATTCTTAAAATAATTAATAAAATAATTATGTCAATTCTCATGAAAATTTTAGAGTCCAAAATATAGCAATGCTCTATGGAATTTGATCGATTAATTCAAAAATAAATGCGAGGTTGCCTTTGATTTTGTTGAGACCATCACAAGAATTCAATTTGATTGTTTACTTTTATTTTCAATCTCAATGAATCAATTTAACATGAAAATTAACTCATTTTTAAAATATTAAGTAGATGAATAAAACAGTTTTTTGAAAACTTTCAATTTCTATCATTCTAGACAATATTATCTATATCATATACGAAATTAAACTTGAACTCTATTTACAAATTATTATTTTGGACCTTTCTGTATGGATTTCCATCTAGCTATTATGATATTATTGTACGTATTAATATTATTAAATAATGTTAGTTCTATTTTTATTTTCATAGAGGAATTGGTATATTCTTACATATAGTAATTAGATATATAACATATATTACTATCAAGAGGAAATTCCTGATTATTTATTCGATTCAAATAAAGACTAAAAACTTAAAAATGCAAGCATTGGGTGTTATACATATGAAAAAGAATACAATAATTATGTATTTTGTGAACCAAAATCATGGTTGAATAAAAAAATTCAAATTAGTTGATAATATTGATTGATAATTTCGTGAAAAAGATTCTTTTAAAAGGGTTCTTTAACTTCTAGTTTATAGCAAGTAGACCTTGTTGCTGTGAATATTCTTAATTCATGAGTTGTATGTGGTGACTTACCACTCACCACAAACAGAGACTAAGATATTGTTTGCTTGTGGGATTTGGGTAATGGATTTGGCACCCAAATCCCAAGCATCAAGGATTTGACACAAATTCATTGTTTGATAAGAGACATAAATCCGTGGGATTCCAACCGAGTGTTAAAGATTATAGCTTATTTATTATACTCTCGACTATGAAACAAAAAATACTGATATTTTGACAGTAACTCCCCAACCAAGAGTTCCTCTCGAGGAAGCAGGGGGCTGCGGTAGCTATTGTAAATTACTATAAGTTTAATGATAATGATCTCCGAGAATTAATGTGGTATCCCTGAGGTTCAGGACTAATCCACGGGAGAGGCTGTGCTCTCCAAGAACTTCACTATAATCACCAATTTGCTTAATTGTTTACATCAATAACCCTAGGCTATTTATAGTGGCCTAGTTCCTTAATTACATAGACCAATACAACAGAGGATAAATATACGAATTGGTACCCAAAATTTGATACTTCAACACCTTCCCTCAAATTGATCTGCGGTACGCAACATCAATTTGGATGACAAATACCAATGCCTACTGGAAGCCACGGCCTTGGTTAACAGATCTGTTGTCTGATCTTCAGTCGAGAGGTATCCAATTTGTATCACTCCTTCTGCCACTAGTTGTCTGATGTAATGGACATGAACCTCAATATGTTTAGTTCGGTCATGCATAACAGGGTTAACTGCAATCTGAATTGCATTGGTATTACCCCCATAATTACGCATTGGGACTCGAAAATCAACGCCCAATTCACCTAGTAATTTATCCACACAAGTTCTGAGCTTACCTCACACATAGATCGATACTCTACTTCAGTCGAGGACTTCGAATCTCTATCTTGTTTCCGACATCTCCAAGACACAAAGGACTGAACGCGAACACACCATCCCGAGGTTGACAGTCTTGTATCAATGCATCCTGCATAATCAGCATCTGCAAAAGCCTCAACTACAGGTTCACCCTTTGCAAAAAGAAACAACCCGACATCCTGTGTTTGCTTAAGATAGCGCAGGAGTCTGTGAACGGCAGCTAAGTAAAGACTAGTCGCCCTCCCCATAAGCTGAGATACAACCTGAACCGCATATGCAATGTCCGGTCTCGTATGTGTCAGGTATATTAAGCTCCCTACCAAGCTCCTGTAAACCGATTGATCTTTCATCACTTCCCCCCCCCCCCCCTTCCCTGCTCAACTTCAAGTTTTGCTCCATCGGGGTAGAGCACGACACACAATCTGCATACTGAGAATATTGCAAAAGGTCAAGTATATATTTGCGTTGGAAGAGAAAAATACATTATGGCGAGCGCTTGCCCTTCAACCCCAAGAAGTAAGAAACCTCCGCATTTCCTTCAGCTTGAAAGCTGTGTGGAGTGCTGCAGTAATCGCGCATATCCCATCCTTATCACTGTCCGTGATAATCATATTGTCAACATAGATCAACAAGATAACAATGCCATCAACTGTCTCACGTGTAAAAAGGGAAGGATCATTCTGGCTTTAAGTGAAGCCAGCCTGTAAAATCGTCCCATGAAACTTCTTGAACCAGACACGAGGTGCCTGTTTCAAGCCATACAGGGACCGATTGAGTTTGCAAACCATAGTAGAATCCCCTTTCTCATACCCAGGAGGCCTCTCCATATAGAAAGTCTCTTTTAGGTTGCCATGAAGAAACGCGTTCTTCACATCGAGCTGGAGAAGAGACTAACCTTTCATAGAAGCGACGGCAAACACACAACGGACAGTCTTCATCTTAACAATCGGGGCAAAGGTTTCGTCCTAGTCGATACCATACCCCTGTTTGAACCCTTGAGAAATGACACGTCCTTTAAAGCGTTCAACATCGCCATCAGGAAGCATCTTCACATTATAAACCCAACGACTTCCAATCACCTGCATTCCCTCTTCCCGAGGAACCAAATCCCAAGTATGTTCCTCTTTGGGGGCATCCATCTCAACCTTCATTGCGTCATTCCACCATGGGTCAGCTACGGCCTGGGCATAACAAGAGGGAATGAAGATCGGGGTACTGGAGAATCCCCCAAAATCTCGCATACGGATCGGTGGTTGACCCAGGTTGGCGCGGTTTGAACGACACAAAGGGACGAGTGGCTGGACCGGGGACGGAGAGTGATCACCATCACTCGACGAGCTAGAGGCCGAGCTCGAAGAGGACGAGCTAGGAGAGGACAAGACGGGACCAGGAGAGAACGAGCTCGAAGAGGAAGTGCTCGATTGCGGGCTGCTGGGAGACAAGGAGTGACCCAAATGCATGGAACTAGAGGGAGTCAAATCATATGGAGCTGACGGAGAAGAGGTTTCCAATGCGGCCAGTGGGGCGAGAAATTCCAATGACTCGACAACACAAGCATTAGTAGACAACTTGTTCTTGTAGTACATGTTGTCCTCCATAAATTTGATGTGATGTGCTATTCTCATGCGACGATCACCAAGGTCATAACAAAGGTAGCCTTTGTGCTTCTCGCTATAATCAACAAAGACACAACGAGCCACTTTGGGAGCAAGCTTATGCCGATCTTTCTTCGGAAGCAAGACAAAGCAGGTGCAGCCAAAAACCCGAAGAGACGAGTAATCAGGGAGCCACTAGTAGAGAGCGTGATACGGTGACTTCTGACTAAGAAACAGAGTAATCTGCCGGTTGATCAAATAAACAATGGTCTGTACAGCCTCTACCCAAAAACCAATGTGAACCCTCGAATGAAAGAGGATAGCACGTGTGAGCTCCAATACAAGTTTGTGTTTATGCTCAACCACCCCGTTTTGTTGAGACACACCGGGACAGGACTTCTGCGGAATAATCCCCAAATCCTTAAAGAGTTTTAGAAGTTCCGTAGCGACGAACTCCCCTCCAGGGTCTGTCCGCAGAGCCTTGACTATTTTCCCAAACTGCGTCCGGATCATACTAACAAATTCGTTGGCCGCCAAAACAAGGTATGATTCCTCTTCAAGAAATAAACCCACGTATATCTTGTAGTATGATCTATAAACAATGCAAAATACCGGAACCCAATGCGAGACGTGACAGGTGATGGTCCCCAAAAATCGGTATGAACTAAGTCAAACGGACCATCATAAACTGTATCACTAGGGGAGAAAGAAACCTGCGAGGGCTTGGCCACAACATATTCCACACAATCCGAAATACCATTCAACTTAGGCTTAACCAACTGATCAGGAAATAAATGCTGCCAAAACATAGTTTTCAATCTCCCCAAATGGGGATGACCCAAACGTAGATGCCATAAATCCCATACAGAATTAGCAGCAGAAATATGAGAACTGTTTGCCGAAAATCAACACTGTCACTAGCCGGAAAACAATAGAACGCACCAACCCCTTCCAAAGAAGACCCAGTCTTCTCGGCAGCACCCACTGTCATGCAACATCCATGCACGTCCTCCCCAAGCACGTCCGCCCCCAAGAAGTCCTCCAGTACAAAAGTACGACCACTCTTACGACCCCGCCTAATCACCCTCCTCGTCGTCCGGTCCTGCACAGCACAACCAATGGACTCAAACACGACGTTATAACCATCCTCTGTCAATTGACTCACCGAGACAAGATTCGACGAAGTTGAGGAACATATAGCGTATGGGGAAGTGTAACCGAGCCAGTGTGAGCTGTACTCGACCCATGGACGGGAACAGTGGCCTCGTTGGCTACTTGAAGACGCATAGAACGCACAGGAGACAAGTGGTCGAAGGCTGGACGATGACTCGTAATATGGTTAAATGAGGTAGAGTCTTAGAGCCAACGAAGAGACTTACCGGACTGAGTAGAAGTAATAAAGGCGGAAGAGAGTGCCTCCTGGAGAGCCACCTGAACCAACCACTGAATCTGATCAGCAGATACAGACCCACCACCGGCGGGAGAGGAAGCAAATGGAGCCTCCATAGTGACCAGGTACGCAACAGCTAGAGAAGACAAGGTGCCAGCACACGAGGCCTGCCGAAGTTTGCCGCGACGACTAAATGTCGGGCACTCAAGCACGATGGACCCGATCGTTTACAATAGTTGCAAAAATTATTTTTCTTGCAATGGATATGAATATGACCTTGCTCGCGACAAAAATGACAAACGATCGGCCCTGAAGAGGTGCGAGGAACCTGGGGACGGGAGGCAGCAGCAGGGCGTCCCACAACAAACGCCGACTCAGCCTGATTACCCGCGTTGTAAATCTGAGATTGACTCTTCGGCCTAGTCTCCTCCCGCATCGATTTAGCGATCACATCCTCAATCTAAGTCGTGTTACGATGGATCAAGGATGCACAAATAGGCTAGAACTCAGTCCGAAGTTTGGTGAAGAATTGAAGAACCTGACTGCGAGCCCTCTCCACAATGACAACATCCGACGCAACTGCAGGAACAAACGAAGCAGTCAACAAATCGTATT